TCCTTATGAGGTATCGGAACGCTATCCGTAGGTTTGCCAGGCACCCGTATGCTGCAGCAGTTATCTGATTGATGTGCGCCTCAAGAGATATGCTTGGTGTTATACTCACCCCCAGATCTTTTTCCTTGAGTGAGGTTTGCAGACTTTGGCCGTCTAAACTATGTATATTGTGTCTGCGGTCTTCTTTGCCCTTCCCCAATCTTCATGACTTTGCATTTGGCAGGGTTAAACTCAGGGAGCCAGTTGCTGGACCAGGCTTGTAGCCTGTCCAGGTCTCTTTGTAGTCCTGCCTGATCCTCATCCGATTTGATTCTTCTCATTAACTTCACATCGTCCGCAAACAAGGACACTTCTGAGTCTATCCCTTCCGTTATGTCATTCACATATACCAAGAACAGCACAGGTCTAGGACTGACCCCTGTGGAACCCGCTTGTCACAGGCGCCCACTCTGACCCCTGTCAGTCCCATGACTCGTTGTTGCCCCCCGTCAGGTATTCTCTGATCCATTGCGTGCCTTTCCTGTTATGTGGGCCTGATCCTTAGCTTTTGCGTAACTTTTGTGGGGAAAAACTGTGTCAAGGCCTTCTTGCGTCCAAAAAAATGCAGTATCCCCCCCCTCTCTCTCTTGTTTATTCTGTCCCCTTTGTCTAAACTTAGTGGTTTGTGCACGGATTTTTCCTGAAACCATGCTGGTTGTCAATTTCACTTGTTTTTTTCCCGGTGTCCCCACTCTCCCCCTGATATCTTCTCCATGCCCTTGCAATATAAACGTTAGTGATACGGGTCTGTAGTTATCCCTCGTCTGTCCCCCTTTTTAAAAAATTTGGGACTACATTTGCCATTTTCCCATACCTCAGGGATTTTGCCAGTTTCAATGATTGTTAAGATTTTTGAAAAGGTACACACAATATCTCTTTTCCCCTTTTTAAGGCCCCACGGAGAGTGTGTCTGGTCCCCCCCGCCTTTGAGGTGTCAAGTTCGCATAGCAGTTTTCATTTCCTTGTGTGTGTGGTGTGTGTTGTGTGTGTGTGTGGTGTGTGTGTGTGTGTTGTGTGTGTGGTGTGTGTTTTGGGGTGTGTGTGTTTGTGTTTTTGTTGTTTGTGTGTGTGTTTTGTGTGTGTTTTTGTGTTTGGTGGTGTGTGGTGTTACTCATTTTGAGGTTGGGGGGTCAGTCCAAGCCCCTGACCCCCCCTCTTCACTGGCGCTACTGGTCCCTTTTCCCTGAACCTTTAGCTTTATTCCCTCTGCTTAAAGTTGTTGGTTTGCTCCATACATTGTTCCCCAAATTTTCCATTCTGACTACTCTGGGGCTGAAAAAAATTTTCCCAACTCCGTGATTCATTGTCTTAATTTCCCAACTGTGCCCCCTTTTTGCGTGTCCATCTCTGGAACCCTGTTTTGTCCACCTTTCATTCCTTCTTTTTGTATTGTTAATGCCCCCCCCACCCTTCCTGTTCCAGTTCACTTTGTTTCCCTTAACCTCTCCTGTGTGTGTGTGTGTGTTTTGGTTTGTGTTGTGTTGTGATGCAGTTCAGAGGGGTTGTGAGGTTTTGGGGGAGCCCCTAATTACAGTGGACCCCCGGTTCGCATCCCCATCGGTATTGATAAATCGGTTGCAATGCATTACTCGAAAAAAAATTTGCCCTGGTTCCCATTACAAAACCAGGTATACGCGATTGTCCGGAGTGTCCACGTGTGGCCCGAACTGCCCCGTGTGTGCCCGTGTTTACAAGCCAGCTGTGTGCTGCATTAAGGATTATTTGGTACATTCCATATTTACAGTGTTTTTGGTGCTTATTTCTGCAAAATAAGTCACCCCTGGGCCCCCAAAAAAGCTTTTTAGTGCCAACCCTTCGAGACCAAGGGTGCTAAAGACTATTGAAAAGAAAAAAAGAGTAATTGCAAAGTACGAAAGTAGAGTGGTGTGTCGGGGTGGCCAAGTTGTATAAAAAACCCCAAACAACCATCTTTTATGTGCCCCCGGAAAACGGCAATCAAGGAAGGTGTTGTTGCAAAAGGTACAACTGTGATTACGAAACAGCGACCGCAAGTGTTAGAAAATGTTGACTGTTATTGGTGTGGATAAATGAAAAACAGATAGCAGGAGATAGCATCTCTCAAAGCGATCATTTGTGAAAAGGCTAGGCAGTTGCATGACGATTTGGTAAAGAAATTGCCTGCAACTAGTGGTGATGTGAGTGAATTTAAGGCCAGCAAAGGTTGGTTTGAAAGATTTAAGAATCGTAGTAGCATACATAGTGTTGATTAGGCATGGTGAGGCTGCCAGTTCAGACTAAAAAGCAGCTGAAAAATATGTGAAGGAATTCAAGGATTACATAGACAGTGAAGACCTGAAACCTGAACAAGTGTTTAATTGCGACGAAACAGGCCTGTTTTGGAAGAAATTGCCAAGCAGGACCTACATTACTCAGGAGGAAAAGGCACTCCCAAGACATAAGCTTATGGAAGACAGGCTTACTCTTCTGATGTGTGCCAATG